GACTTACCCCCCCATCGAAATAGCCATTGTCTTCGACCCTAATAATACGCCCCACCAAGGCCGTTCAAGCAACAAAAAGATATCATCGGTGAGCTTGCATATGTCAGTGAAACACCCCTTGCTCCGCTCATGTAGATAAAAATCAACTGCGGTCTTAGCCCAAAGGGTGTTATCCAAAATTGTGTCCGGTAGTTGTTCCCTCTCCTCTTCAGATACCGGTATGGTACTGGCCGGTAACTCATACGAGAGCCAACTTGAATCCATCATGTCCGGCACGTCAGAGGGTTTCTCAAGAAGCCTACATATGACGCCATGTGAATCGGGCTCTTGAATGGTGGGAGGGACCTCTTCAATGATGACAGTGGCCTCTTGAACGGTGGGAGGGGACTCTCGAGGAATGATATGGGGGGCCTCTTCAACGATAGGAGTGGACTCTTGAGGGATGACAGGCGAGTCGGGCTTCTTCTTGCGGTGTCTTCGCACTATTGGGGTGTACGGAGACTTAATAGCACGTGCACGCTGTCTGATGCGTGAACTCCGTCGTGCAAGCATAACCCGACGTAAAGCATCCACTCTATCGGGCCGCTAAATAATTAAATACAAAAATCAGTAAATAAACAGACATGATATTTAAACAGTGAAAACAAAGACAAATATGTTTCAAACTTGCATTGTATTCACCCAAGTCATTATTCTATCATAGTTCACAAAATGCATCAGATAACAAGAAAAATATGTTTCAAACTAATACCCTGAAGTTAGTATTTGTCTTTGTTTTGTCTATTGGTTGAAGTAATGCAATCCATTCAAGTTTCAATTTGCAGAAGAAGAAATAGTTTACTTTCGCAACACGAAACTTAAAATCGCAACGCGAAACCAAAATCGCAACGCGAAATTAAAATCGCAACGACAGAATCGCAATGCGAAATGAAAATCGCAACGAAAGAATCGCAACGCGAAATGAAAATCGCAATGCGATTTTGGTTTCGCGTTGCGATCTTGTCGTTGCGATTTTGGTTTCGCGTTGCGATTCTGTCGTTGCGATTTTCATTTCGCGTTGCGATTTTGGTTTCGCGTTGCGATTTTAAGTTTCGTGTTGCGAAAGTAAACTATTTCTTCTTCTGCAAATTGAAACTTGAATGGATAAATTTACTTTCAACCAAAAGACAAAACAAAGACAAATACTATTTCACAGTGTTAAAGAATACACAGTTTAGCAGAATTGGCAGCAACCGAACAAATTTACTTTCAACCAAAAGACAAAACAAAGACAAATACTATTTCACAGTGTTAAAGAATACACAGTTTAGCAGAATTGGCAGCAACCGAACAAATTTACTTTCAACCAAAAGACAAAACAAAGACAAATACTATTTCACAGTGTTAAAGAATACACAGTTTAGCAGAATTGGCAGCAACCGAACAAATTTACTTTCAACCAAAAGACAAAACAAAGACAAATATATTTCACAGTGTTAAAGAATACACAGTTTAGCAGAATTGGCAGTAACCGAACAAATTTACTTTCAACCAAAAGACAAAACAAAGACAAATATATTTCACAGTGTTAAAGAATACACAGTTTAGCAGAATTGGCAGCAACCGAACAAATTTACTTTCAACCAAAAGACAAAACAAAGACAAATACTATTTCACAGTGTTAAAGAATACACAGTTTAGCAGAATTGGCAGCAACCGAATAAATTTACTAAGCAATCTAAGTGAAATGGCTAATCTAAGTGAAATTACGAGTAAATTTATCATTAAGTTAAATATGGAAAATCTTAAACTTACCTCGTTGCGTAGAGTATGAACCTCATTCTGCAACGATACTATCATCTCACGTAGAGCGGCAACCTCACCACGTAAAGTTGACACCTCCACACGCCATGCACCATCGTTATCGCGTAGAGTACCGATCTCCTCACGCAAGGCATTGACCTCATCACGTAACTCCCTTGACTCATCCCGTTGAGGTGGAGGTGGAGAACAGGGAGATAGGAGTCGTGGCATCTTTGCCGGTCGCCTATCATGAGGTGATGGTGGAGAAGAGGCTCGATGATGTGACGGGATAGGTGATGGCTCTCGTTCTAGAGGTGTATAGTCGGGTCGATCGGGTGATGGCTCTAGGTGAGGTGATGGCTCTCGAATTGGAGGAAGTGGATGCTGCTCATCATCCGTGCCATCAAAAAAATTCTGACTAGCTTGCCACCAATCAGTGGCAAGCTCTTCCTCCGTGGGTGTCAGTCTTTGTAATGGAATGTTGGCCTCCTAAAATATAAAAACTCAAACAAAGTTAAACGTCTACTATTAATAACTTGTTTATATATTATATGAAAGTATGTGTGTTAACTTACATTATTTATTGTGGCATATGGTATTAAGTCTTCCCAATCCAACAGAGTTTTCCTCTTCCAGGAAATAGCCCTGGGAATATCATTTGACGTTTTTATTGCATATGTACGCATGCTGGGGAAAGCCTCGAATATCCAAATCTACAAACAATATAATAACAAAATTTAGTAATTGTTAAATAATTAATTATAATTTTAGAAACATTATATAGAAATTCTTACCTTAAAGGCCCAAACAAAGCCTGACAAAGTGTATTTGGACCCATCGCCCCGCAAACTTTTGCGGTCATCAAAGGCAGACGACAACTTAGTCCAGGTAGCTTTCCATATATACGAACCCCACGGAAACAGATTCCATGCATTCAGGTCCTCTACCAATATTATTAGCTCCCGATGAATAGGTTGTCTGGCCTCTCTGCCTAAAAAGCCGGCATACACAAGTAGTAGAAGGCATACTCGGACAACATCGACGTCTTCCATCCGAGTGAAACCAGCTTTCTTATTAAATAATTTCTTCAGGTCGTCGACATGTAGGTTCGGCTTCTCCATTGACTCATCCGGAAAAACCCGGGATAACCATGATGGGCGGGCGATATGACGAGTGTACCGGCCTACATCATCGTGTCCGAATCGTAGACCAGTGATTAAGCAGAACTCCTTCCGCCCAAAGCAAGTATACGCTGGTGGAAAATGAAACCATATCTCTTCCTCACCACGTTGTATACTGTCGGGTAGATTTGATGTCATGGTCTGAAGCCACAAATGGGTCAAATTAGCATCTCCACCCGGATGCTGTACTCTCAGCCATGGCCCGAAGCAGGTTTCCTCAAACAATTGTCTTTGAGCAGGTGAAAGCTTCTTTGCAATTGTAGTGGCCAGGCTGACTTTATTTCTCAAGGTCAATTGAGCCGAAAAAAATTTCTACAAAAACAATAAACATACCAAGTTAGATATACCAAAAACTACACTGTGAAGATATACCAAAAACAATAAACATAAAAAGTAGTAGTTTATTCTTGAAACTAAAATTTGCAACACTGTTTTGTCTTTTGGTTGAAATGAAAATCGCAACGAGAGAATCGCAACGCGAGATGACAATCGCAACGAGAGAATCGCAACGCGAAATGAAAATCGCAACGAGAGAATCGCAACGCGAAATGAAAATCGCAATGCGATTTTGGTTTCGCGTTGCGATTCTCTCGTTGCGATTTTCATTTCGCGTTGCGATTCTCTCGTTGCGACAGTCATTCTCTCGTTGCGATTTTCATTTATCTCGTTGCGACTCTTCTGCAAATTGAAACTTGAATGGATTGCATTACTTCAACCAAAAGACAGAACAAAGACAAAGACAAATACTAACTTGAAAATCGCAACGAGAGAATAGCAACGCGAAATGAAAATCGCAACGACAGAATCGTAACGCGAAATGAAATCTAAGTGAAATGGTTAATCTATTATTGAAATGACCAGTAAACTTATCATCAGTTTCAATATGAAAAACCTACAATAATGCAAACATTTCAAAATAAAAAAATTAAAAAAACTAACCCTCGGAGGTTGATTTTCCATTTCTGAATATTGTGAGGGATTTCTGACCGTGAATGGTTGTGAGGGATTTCGCCGGAGATGGGGACGGAAATCTTCGGAGATGGGGACGGATTTCTTCGCCGTAGAGAGTGAGAGATGGAGATGGGACTGAGTTGTGATTTTAGGTTTTAGGTTATGAGTTGCGATTACGGGATTTTGTCTTAATATTCTTTTTGTAATTTGAAAATAAAATACGCGTAGCGATTATAATGGCGCTTTAAATATCGCGTTGCGATTTACGGATACGCGTTGCGATTTTATGTATTATCGTTGCGATTTACGGATACGCGTTGCGATATACGGATACGCATTGCGATTTACCCATACGCGTTGCGATTTACGGATACACGTTGCGATTTACGGATACGCGTTGCGATTTATGTGTTCGCGTTGCGATTTTCATATTCGCGTTGCGATTATGGAAAATCGCAATGCGAATTTCTACTATCGCATCGCGATTTTCAAGAATCGCGTTGCGATTTTGGAAACTGATTTGCGATTCTGGAAACTGATTTGCGATTCTGGGGATCGCGTTGCGATTTTTATTTCGCGTTGCGATTTTGTTGGTCATTTTGGCAAATCCAAAAAAAGTTGGTTAAAATCGTATATTATAACTTTTTTTTGGTCACTGAGGCGATTTTCTCTTTAAAGAAAATTATTAGATTTTTTTGGATATGACATATTTCGATCCATATATATGTATAGGATTTGATATCTTGAATGGCTAAACTCAAGGTTTCAAATAGCGGCCAAATAGTGATATCGCAATCGTTATATCGCGGTCGTAACGGTATTCGAAACAACTATCACGGAAAATAACGGTGTGAAGCGGGATCACACCAATAGCGGCGGATCCCGACCACAATTTAACGGATCATGGCAATAACGGACCGCTATTATGCTAAAAAAATCAGCTCATTCGAAGAAAAAAAATCACGATCGCGATATCTGCAATGACCGCAATAACATTCGTTATATCCGCAACCGTGATAAACGCGACGCGACAACGAACTTTTTTAAAACCCTGACTAAACTTTCTACTTAAATGAGATGCATGCATACACAATAAATATAAAGCTTCATTGTATTCTCTCGTGTTTTCTATAAGCTAATTAATTGTCGATTCACACAAATTCTGTAGGTAGAGACTAAGGTTGTGAAACCATGTTGATGATCACCGGAACCGGTTCGACTTGGATGTCTTAGGGAGAGGAGCGGTGGTTGTCGAACGAGCTCAGTCTCGAGAGAATTTGCGGTAGACCGGTAATCAACATAACGAAGATTTGTAATGACAACATAACAAAGCAAATGAGATTAGCTAAGGCCTAAGAGCACAAGATGAACGGTAAGGTCTAAATTACCCTAAACCCATTCACATAATGAGCATCCATGACATCACCTATATATCAATGGTGTAGAACACTTTTGTTATCCCCTTCTTGGTCCGAATTCGAGGGACCTGAAAAAGATAATCAGATCATATCAATGGAAGCATTTAATAGATGTATCCAGCGGATATTTGGACTCACAGCATATGATTCTTCAGATATACGATAAAAACTAAGCATACAACTGCCGGACGCATACCTATATCCGGCACTCATTAAAATTCGATTTATTCTGTCAGCACGCATCGTCAGACATGAGAGTAAGATGATACATACGAGTGTCATTAAATGATTTCGAATTATCATTTTTTTTCAAGTGATAATTGATGATATACCTTCAGACTTATGATCTCTGAAATATCGGAAACATGGGTGCCGCCACAAGGACAACCAGGGTTGTCTCCTAGCTTAATGATACGAGGATTGCTACCCTGGATGAGACTCAAAAACAAGGCTATCATTAGAAACAAAAAAGAATCGGATTCTGAATTCTAACAGGATTTCGGTCATTGTATCGAGTGCCTGACTCTACCGATCCCCTGAGCTTTATAACTGCTATTGACAGGCGATAACGGCATAAAACATACTTACCGGGGTAATGTAATCCGGAAGAGAACCGCCACAAAGCTCAGCAGATTCGTCATATGGTAATACTGCTGCATAAACCTGAAAGAAACCGGGATGAGGTTTACAAACAAATGCTCTGCAACATAACAAAACGGAACGCGACACATCTAGATGATACTTACTTTACCTCCTTTAGATATCAAGTCATTAACTTCTATCTCTATTTCCCTTTGCTTGTTTTGCAATTCATTCGGTGGAATCGTGCCCTTATATTCCACAAATGGCCTGAAAAATAAACCGAACTTCAAGAATGCTACTTTTATACACCCATATTTGCTTATAAGCATAAAGGTTGATGTAATATGAACATCGGAATCGAAGATTCAACAGAAAGATCCTCACAACAGTTCAACTGTTAATTATACGACTAACTAAAGGTGTACAACTATATTACTTTGGCACTTCAATTGCCGGACACATCTTCGGACATGGATATGAGAATATAATTCTCCAAGCACCCTCCAAATGCATAGAAAAACTTTGAAGTAAATATATATACACATGTTAGATATATATATCTGTATCTGACTCTCACACTCGATTCTAAATAGCATGCAAGTCCAACAACACAAAGAGAAATAGGAAATTAATCCCAAGCAACCATGATAAGCTCCTCCTTTTCAGTACTATAGCAAACAACAAAGAGTGTATACCTTTATGCTGATTACATGCAAGTTTGAAGCTTTTTACCTATGACAATTAGTTCACAAGTACCGGTTGATCGAAAGCTTACCCGTCCGGAAAATGGTAGCCTTTACCCGGCTCCAAAAGCCCCAAACCAACATTCCTCATGCAAACATCAAGCAAATGCCCAGCTGAGTGCAGCCTGCTCAACAACAGTAGTTGAAGATAAATAGTAAATATGGCCAAGAAAATGAACGAAACCAATCGAAGGAGCTTAAACAGTAAGACAACAAGAAACAAACAGAGAAAAGGATCTTAAAGCAGCAAATCACAAGAAAATCGAAATAATTATAGAAACTTTTTATACTGAAAATGCAATCTAAATAGATGAAGAGAATTTCCCTCCAAACCAACTACCTAGAATTCAGCCTCCTCCTTGATTCATCCACTTGCAAAATCACTTCTTTCCCTTTCCCTTGCTCCAATTCATTTTCCATGGTGGAAACCTCAGGAACTCCATAATGAAACACCTTTGAACCAAAGGAAAAAAACCCAGAATTATTCTTCGAAAACAAAGGGTTGCAAACTTTATACAAGTGAACTTACGATGCGAAAACATATTATCAATAGAAAATACAAATAAAATATCAAAATCATACGAGAATTTGATCGAACATCCTACTTACAACTCCGTCTTTTGATCGAACATCTTGCACGCAGAATCTGAGGTTGGTATTTGTGACACAAACGAAACCAGTATCAGAAGGTTGACCACCACCTTGTGGATGGAAGATCGTGTTATCTAAAATCAAAGCTTTCCTTCCATCTTCACCCTGAAAAGTGAAAACCCCATATTAAAAAATAGGGAAAATCATGAATTTTGTGGATCAATGAATATGAAAAAGGAAACCCAGAGAGGAAATTGGATAAAGGAGTGACCTTAAAGTAGTGAACAAGTGTGGCTTTCGATTGAAGTTTGAACATTTGATCATAGTATTCAAGCTTTGTTGGGGTCGTTACTTCCATGCGGAATCCTTCACTGTGTTTCCCTCTGAGTCAAACTCGTTTAGTTTCTTGTACCCCCGAAATGAAGGGCTACTTCTAACATTTTGATATTTGATCGATGGTATTGACTCAGTTTGTCTAAATGGATAAAACTTGTAAACAGCCCCTCTACAAATTATAACATTATAGATAAATCAAACTGCATTTTAGCTCTACTAAAATGATAGATTTGATATATTTAGTTCTAAAAGTTGTAAAATTGGAAGTTAATATAGTGCCAAAATAACATTTTTAACTCCCATACAAAATTATAGTTCAAATTCAACCTTATAAAATGTCTGATTTTTATATTTTTTGAATTAATCTTTGTTATCCGATCTATTAACTGACTCATTCAAATCGAGTATTGTAGAGGCGAAGGTGACAATTTCAACCCAATTTGTTCAATTCACAAACGTCAGAGTTCAAACCTCTGACATTGCTTAAAGAATCAATTGTCACATCCCACTAAATCAACCGATTGTTGGTATTAGATGATTTATATTCATTGTGTAAAGCCTAATGGCTTTATTAGATAGTGTAATACCCTAATTTTATTCGAAAATTAAAGAGGGAACAAATTACAAGAACCAAATTTATAATTATACCTATTGTAGTTTGGGCCTTTAAAAGTCAATTTTCAGCCACCCACATTCGGTAACTAGAAAAAAAAAACAAAAAACAATTCAACAACCCACCATATCATATATCTCACCACTACCCCACCACTAATCACCCACCTACTCCACTAAACCCTCATGCCACCATAAATAAAGGAAGGAGTTTTTTTTATTTGATATCAGAAACAAAAGCTTAAAAGGGGAGGAAAAGCTAAAGCACTGGGGAACTGAACCGAAGCTGAAGTTCAAGCAAGAGAGTAAAAATGCTGAGATTTTCTCTGTTATTGCTTCTCGTTTTCCGTTCATCTCTCTCTTCATCTTCGGTTCGGCCTGTACCTTTTGCTATGCGCATAAACTGTGGGGCTCGTGAGAATGTTCGAACTCCTCCGACATATGCAAATTGGTATAAAGATTTTGGATATACAGGTGGAACTCCAGATAATGCCACAAGTCCTAGCTTTATCACTCCTCCACTAAAAACACTCAACCTCCCTCTTTCTCACGGGCGCCGCTCTCTCCAACGAACCAAGGCCAATGTTCCTCACCGGCGACACTCGACGCCGTAAACGACGGCCGACAACGACCCAAAGCAAACCTAAGCTAGCCCCTGCTTCTCAATTCACTCTCTAGCCCTCGAATCCGGGCTAAAACTTGCTGAAACAGCCCTCTAAACAGCCAAAAGGCCCCCGACGTTTCCTGCTTCCACCGTCGACTGTGCCACTCCGGAGAAGGCTCAAACAAACCGGAGCTGAGGTGACGTGGCTGTGAGCTTTCATTCGGTTTTCTGGAAATGTACAGAATGTACAAACCAAGGAGAGGGGCCAGAGGTTGTCGGCGGTTATGGGACTCTTGGTGACATACTGACACTGCTGGCAGCTCAATAGATGCTTTTGGATGGTTGAAAGAGGTGCAGGCTGCTTGGAGAACCATTGCAAAGGTTTAGTTCATTTGGGTAGCCCTAACGTTATGGGTTACACTTTGAGCTTAGGGAAACAATCGTTGGGTTAAGGTTGTATGGAAATGAATTTGGTTGTAAAGGGGTAAAGAAAATGGGTAACCCTTCAAATATTGTGGTTAAATTCTTCTTTCGGTCACCCTATCTTTGATGCACCATGTGACATAGTCAATTTTTTTATAATTTAATTTTGGATGTTTAACTTTTATTATTGTCAATCTAACCCTTATTTTATTTTCATTTCTAATTTGATTTAATATTTTTTTATTATTCTATTTTCACCAACATTTTTTGGTCTTTTTGTAGTTTTTTTCTTTTTTTATTTCATTTATTTTATTACTTTTAAAATTTTAATTTTTTTATTTTAATTTTTTTCATTTATTTAATATTTATTTATTATATCTAACATTTTTTGACTATTTAGGTGATTTTTTTAAACGATCAAGGTAATTATTTGAATCGATGTTTTAAATTTTAATTTTAATTTTAATTTTCGCAATTAAGATAATCGACAAATTAATTGGTATCAAAAGGGCAATACAAGGGTGTTAATCCTTCCTTGACTGTAACCGACTCCGGAACCCGATACATTTATGGTAAAACGTAGATCAGATAAGATGGTGTTCAATCCACCTAACTATTTTTAAAGTAATCGGTGGCGACTCTAACCCATTTCATTTAAGTCGAAGTCCAATTTCGGGCCCAACGGAAAGACGACCGCGACAGTTTGGCGACTCTGCTGGGGACATGTAAGTGAATCAGGCCAGAATTAATTTCGTTTGTCTTTTTGAGCAAAAAATATAAGTTTAAATTATAATTTATTTATTCGATTCTAATTATTTATCTTTGATTATTTTTCAAATAAATAGTTGTACTGACGTTTTTTCAATGATTTCATATTTTCAAAATTTTCATCTCAAGCTTTAAACCCGCGCTCCAAACTCTTTTAAGTGGGGTGAAAGTGACGTCTTCGTGAGAATTTATTCTCCGTATGGGTTTGACAAATAACCTTCGGGATTCATATATCTTATGTCTTCGTGTGAATTTATTCACCGTACGGGTATAAGAGAATATATCCCCTCGAGTTTAACTTAATCAACATGAGCTTGTAATGGGCTTAGGATTAAAGGTCTGACAAACCCAAGGTGCACCAGCAAGGAGAACTCGGGTACCTCCTTTAGAACTTAAATCGGGAGACTACATGGAGTTATGACCCACCTGAAAGGCGACCACGAAAGATAGTCTCAGTTCATTACATCATCTATGGTTCCAATCAATAATATTTGTTCTTATCATTTTTTTCTAAGGTGAACCTTAAACTCTTTCTTATGTGTAAATAAAAAGTGTGTAATTATCTGAAAGTTATTTTAAAATTTGTGACTCTCCTTCACTCGAATCATAAATAATGTGATGAATCGTATCCATAAAATGAATGCTAAAATAGATACGGCGCAAAAAATAACTCCAAGAATAATGCAACAAATATATACATGGGACTATCTAACCTTTAAAAGGATACAAAACTCAAACATCAGATCATCAAACAAGCCCTTTACAACAAATCACATACCTTATTTTAGAAATTTGAATGAATGTTTATTGAATTTATGATAAATTGATCCAAATACCTTTACTGGGAATGTTTTGATGAATCATGTAATTACCATTTTTACCTCCCCGTTCCAGCAGCTCCACGTCCTCGACCGCCGATCATGATTTGTCTTCCGTCGGGCAATAAGTGGTTAGAAGCATACCATCTTTTCACCGCGCGATCCATTTGATATTTCATTCCAATCTCATGTCGTGCATGGGTTAAATAGGGATGTAAATGAGACGATACAGATCGCGAGCTACTTAAGATCGACTCGATCAAGGCTCGATAAATACTCGGATCGAATGAACTCGACTCGAGTTCTTAACGAGCCGAAACGAGCTACTCGATATTCAACTCGAAAAGCTCGAGAGCAGCTTGAAAATATAATATATTAAGATTTTATTTTTAAAAAAAATAAATTATTAATAATATTAATATTTATGTATTGATTTTTTTTTTAAAATACAGTAAGATTTCATGTATTTAAGGCTCATGTTCGAGTTCGAGTTTGAGGCTTCAATCGAGTTAAGTTTAAAAAAAAATATTTCATTTCGAGCCTTTTCAAGCTGCTCACGAGCTTCAGTTCATGATTTCTAGTTCGAGTCGAGCTTGAAAATTTTAAGCTCGCGAGTTTTCGAGTCGAACTCTATTTCAGAGTTTTCGAGTCGAATCGAGCTCAACAATACTCGAACTCGGCTCGTTTACACCCCTAAGCTGAACACCCTGACCCGACGTTCGCCGTCGTTGAAACCACCGACCATGATTTGTCTTCCGTCGGGCAATAAATGGTTAGAAGCATACCATCTTTTCACTGCCAATCCATTTGGTATTTCATTCCAATCGCATGTCCTGCATGGGTGAACACCCTGACCCGACGTTCGCCGTCGTTGAAACCACCGGTTTGGACCAAGTAACCGTCGCGCATGATGCTGTCTGAGGAGCACCAAACATCGGTTTGGACCGTAAGAGCCCTGAATAAACATCGTACTCGACTGAATGAGCCGTGCAGTCCACTTTGAGCGCCGTGTCAGTTGGATCATTGCGGCACTTCCCTCCGGGAAGTGGCAAATTTGATGGCCCGAAGTCGGTTCTATCGAACATAATCACACGGTCGTTTCTAAGGAGCTGCATGTGCATGGCTGAGATGCCGATGCTTTTTTGTAGGAGTTGCCAACTGCCATTTGCGGCGGAGGTCAGGGAGGCAAAGAGGAGCTGAAGAAGAAGAAGAATTGAGAGAATGAATGTCGGAGCTGACATTTTTTCTTTGACTGAGGTGTTGGTATTTCGTGCTGATGATCGAAACTTTTCAATTTGGTCCTATTTATAAATACTACGTGAAGGGGAGTAGGATGCTTGAAAGAGTTGTCCTTGTTAATGAAAATGATAGTTTATTTGTTTTAAAATTAGGAACATGGGTAGCTAATTAGTTGGCTACAACGATTTTGGATTATTATGAATGTCCTAAGGTTTGAAATTTTGGCTTTTTCTTCTAAAATTAAAAATAATATATTATCGATCGTTTTTTACCAACGTTTTTCATCATTGAAATATAGTCTATTTGCCATGTTTGAGTTATCAATTTAGTGAGTTTACCATGTCATCAACCACATTAATCTGTTACTTTAGATCATATCAGCATCGTGGATTGTCAAGTCAACACCGTGAACTGCCACATCAGTACTGTAACGGTCAACGACGAAAAAACGTTGGTCAAAAGGTAATATTGGATTTATTTTTTGAGTTGGAAGATCACATTGAGAGAAAAATAATATGAGGGTCATATTGATTTTCCTTCAAAAGTACAGGGCCTATGATTCATTTTTTTGCCATAATTTTGTGTATAAATGATAATTTTA